TTTCTATAATTAGTTTTATATTGAATTCATTTAATAATTTTTATTAATTTTTTTACATTAATTTTTTATTAAATATAATAAAATAATAATTTAACAAACTTTAATAAAATTGTCATAAAATTTTATTATAAAATTTAATAATTTTTTATATAATATTTTTAAGGTTAAATGCTCATTTTGGTCCCTCAACTTTATCGGTTTGCACATTTTTATCCCTAAAGTATTTTGTGCACATTTTTTATCCCTCAACTCTAAGAAATACACATCATTAGTCCTTCTGCCAATTTGAGTCATTAACTCCACCCACATGGCATTTTTTATATTTTTTTGGATGACATAGATAATCCAACCGAAAAAAATGATGACATGGATTGATCTGTTGAAAGGAAATACCCAAAGTACCCTTGGTAATTGACATGGCATCACGTGATTGGTCCACCATTAAAATAAATAGAGAAATGTCGTATTAACTTTTCTTTTATTTATTTATTTTTATTTTTTATTTGTGCCAGAAGCATAACGGAAGCGACAAAGATCAACGTGAAGAATGGCGACTCAGCTCATAAGAAAGACGACCAAGATCCTTTCCTCTGCAAACCCTAACCCTACTTCGCCACTAACTCTGGCCAGGGCTTTCTCTGCTGCTTCCACTCCGATCTGAGCCAGTCTCTTCCCCAACAATGGCATCAGCCCTGAGATTGCCGAGTCCATTACACTACTAGAAAAATGACGTATACGAACCGACCATATACGGACCGAATAGTGTCGGTCCGAAAAACTAAATATTCGAACCAATATCGATCCGAATATACCAATGAACATATTCAGACCGGTATTGGTCTGTATATTTCTGGCGGCGTCACAGTATATACGCGCTAATAATATTCAGACCGTTTTCGGTCCGAATATTATTTCTGAAAAAAATAAATATTAAATACCAAAAAATATTTCTGGTGGGAGTCAACAGTATAAATGCGCCAATAATATTCGGACCAGTTTCGGTCCGAATATTATTTCTGAAAAAAATAAATATTAAATACCAAAAAATATTTCTGGCGAAAGTCAACAGTATAGACGCGTCAATAATATTCTGACCGGTTTCGGTCCGAATATTATTTCTGAAAAAAATAAATACTAAATACCAAAAAATATTTCTGCCAGGAGTCCACAATATAGACGCGCCAATAATATTCGGACCGTTTTCGGTCCGAATATTATTTCTGAAAAAAATAAATA